CTCTCACTCTCTCCAGCATGACAGCGGCGGAGAAGGAGGCGACGAGGGGGGAGGTTCAACCCGCGCCAATCCCATGCCATGTACTTTTAACCTGCATAACTGCGCACCCACCACCACCCACCCCTCTCTTAACCTGCGCAGCCACCACCACTCTCCTACACCACCTCTACTATGCACACGCGATCGCTCGCTCCTCCGGGGCAAGGGTGGCTCCACCTGGCGGCAGCCGCGGTACGCCAAACGCGACGCCGAGCGCAAAAACGCTCGACACCGCGTTCTCAGATGCGAGTAGTCGCCGCGGCGACGGCGGCAGCGGCGGAGGCAACCTCGACCCTGGCTGCTCTGCGCAGGTGTATCGAAGCACGCCGAATGAAACATCGCCGACGCGGCCAACACGGCGACGAACGAGATAACATGGCGTGCGGACCGACCAATCGCACACGCCGAATCGCTGCGGCCGCCATCTCGTCCCCCCCTGCGACACTTCCTCCAACAGTGGCGCCCTCCAGTAAAGAGCGCGCGAAGCGATTTTCCGAAAAAAAATCCACCTTGTCCATCCCGCTAAAAGTCATCCAACGGTGGCGCCCTCTGCAGCTCCTGCGCGTGAAACCCCGAGCGATGTTCCGCCCCGAAAAAACTCGTCGCAAAGATGGCGGCGGCGGTCGTCGCGCCCGCGCTTCGCCCCGCCAATTTGGGCGTGTTGACTCAGTCGCCGCGGCGACCGTGTTTACCAGGCATTTATTATTGTTTACAAAGGCGAGCGAGCGCGCGGAGGAAAAATGCAGCCAGCTGTTCGAGCGTCGCTGGCGTTGTTGTTTGTGCGCTGCTGCTGCTGCTGCTGGGAAAAAAACTGGTTGGCGAGAGGAGGGAGGAGGGTGGAAGGGGGAGGGGAGAGGGGAGGGAGGAGGGGGAGGGGGAAGGAGGGGGAGGGGCTGCTGATGATGGCGGTACAATGGTAAACACCTGAATGCAGATGAAGTGAAAGGTACGGAGCGAGGGTCGGGGGAATGAGAGGGGACGAATGGAGGGATAGAGAGACATAGTTGGGNGAGAGAGAGACAGAGAGAGAGAGAGAGACACAAAAGAGAGAGAGAGAGACAAGTTAGCAAGTGGTCGGCGGGCATCAGCAACAAGGGACGTACGCTCATCGCTCGGCTCCAGCTGGTGGAGCATCTCCAGTGCCTTGCCTCCCGGGTAGTTCATGCGCGAGACATTGACAAAGTCACTCGATATCATCGCGTTGAGAAAGATGTGGGCGACGACGCCAACGGCGAGAAGCTGGTGGCGCGCCGATCGCTCGCGTATCTGATAGCTGCAAGATAGAGAGAGACGTGTGAGAGAGGGGAGAAGGGGGAGAGAGAGGGGAGAGGGCGAGAGGGTAGGAGGGGAGAGAGAGGGGAAGAGAGAGAGAGACAGAGAGAGAGGGGGAGAGAGAAAGAGAGAGATGGGGACGGGAAGGCAGAGGGAGATTGGAATGGAGGCAGAGAGAGACAGAGAGAAAGATTAACACAGGACACAAGGCCACTAAATGATAACCCAATATCAAAGTCTGTAAAAGGCAAATGCAAAAAGCAAATGTGCAAATAAGAGATCTTCCCCCTCCACCACCCAATTCCCTGCCCTCCCAGCTCCTAACTGACCACTCTTTCACTTCCCACCCCTTCCTCCCCCTCCTCCTCCTCCTCTCCTCCTCCTCCTCCCTTCCCTCTCCTCCCTCTCTACTATTCGGTTGCCGCAGGCCTTCGCCGCGCGACGTTCACATTCGGAAACACGTTAGCATAATGAAGCGAAGCACTTCCTTGTGCCGCCAGCAGCGAGTATGCCGGCGACAAAGCAACTGGACGCCTTAGGAGCAGTAGCCGCCCTCACGCGCCAGTCGAGGACAAGCCGCCGACTCCATATGGGGACTGAGGACGAGCGAAAGCTTCGTGCGCGGCCCGCGGCACGGCGAGTAGAAATACCAGGAGCAGCGGCATCGTCTGTTGTTTTAGTTTATGGAAACGTAGCAGCGAGAGAGGAGAGAGGTGAGGCGGGGGAGATAGGTCGAGAGAGAGCAGGAGCAGGGAGGGGAGAGGGAGAGAGGGAGAGAAGAGAGAGAGAGAGAGGTGAGAGAAAGGGAGAGGATGGGAGAGCAGGAGCAGCGAGAGAGAGAGGAGGGGGCAGGAGAGAGCGGAGAGGGAGGGAGGGAGAGAGAGAGAGTGAGGGAGGGGAGGGGAGGACGAGGGAAAGGGATGGAGAGAGGAGAGCGGATAGGAGAGAGGGAGAGTGAAGCGGGAGAGAGAGAGAGAGAGAGGGATGGAAAGGGAGAGCAGCGAGGAGAGCAGGAGACGCGAGAGAGAGAGAGGGAGGGAGGGAGAGAGGAGGAGGGAGAGAGGCGGGAGGGGAGAGAGGGAGAGTGAGGGCGGGAGGGGGAGAGGGAGAGAGAGGGAGAGATGCGAGAGAGTTAGAGAGAAATTAATTTTGATTTGATAACAATCGAATTAGTTCACTTTCGCTAACAATTGCTTTCGTATATGAGATCAACTTTTTACTGCATAAAACCCCCAAAGTTTAAACCAAGTTCAACGAAACTGGACGACGATCGATTTTGACCCAACATGGCCACTGTGAAAAGGATACACCCCAGTTGGAGCTCTTGTTTTGGACAGTGTTGTACCAGAGCACTTCTCCCTCTGGCCACAGGGGGCGCTGCCAGAAGTACGTGTCGATGACAATTGTGGCGGCTGAAACAACGACAAACGATTATATACACTAGCTGGAACCCGCGCTAAGCGCGGGCTTAGTGACTATGATGCATGTGGTACCGACTGTTCAATACCCAGAGAGATAAGAGAAGCGATTGACCTTGACATTGACATTTAACTTCATTATTACATGCTTATTTCTACTTACATTATTGGGCTTAGAAAAATCATAAAAATCATTATTTGGCTTACATGCAGCACAACGTTGACAGACGGCGAAATATTACAGTACAACGTTCACAGATGGCGAAATATTAGCAAGGCAAATATATAGCGCCCCCTATTTTCAGGCAAATCTTTACCTTTTTTTTGTCTTTTTTTAAGCCTTTTTTACCGTTTTCAACAGAGTATAGTTTAGAACCCGTCCCGTGTATTCATCAATCTCTTCTGTGAATTTGGCGCTATTTGGATCAAAACTGACGGAGCCTTTCATTAACATACATACATACATACATACAACATTCGCCAAATTATAGTAAGATGACAGTATATTATTGTGAATACGATCGCAGCCATAAATGCAGCATACCATAACGCCAGTGTGGGACGATACTTGCTCACTTGATCGGGCAATCCACACCACTCACCCCCAGGTCACCCACAACACACCACCCACACCACTGCCACCTACACCACACCTCCTACATACACCACTCACCAAGTATTTCACACACGAGATGTCATCCATAAAGTATCCAAACCAATCGCTTCTTACACCACCTATACCACCTCTACCTATATACATCGCACCACACACAGAACAACACAAGCGCAGCCACCACCACACACATATACATACGCACGCACGCACCACACCTCCTACACCACATACATCACTCGCCGAGTGTTTCGCACACGAGATATCATCCGCAAAGTGTCCAAACTAATGGCTACTTACAACAACTACACCGCCGCCACCTACACCACCTACACTATGCCACCTTTACACACGCACGCACACACACACACACACGCGCACACACACACACACACATGCACACACGCACACACGCACACACACACACACACGCACACACACACACGCACACACACACGCACACACACACACACACACACACACACACACACACACACGCACACACGCACATCACACGGCCACCACTCACCCAGTGAGAACACGCCGGCAGGCACGGCGGTGCACAGCAGCTGCAGCGGGGTTGTGCGACGCGAAACTAGATCCATGATCAGCATCGCTCCGAGCAGCAGCGACAGCTCGCTGCGAAAGACGAGGATTGCGAACGCAGAGTAGCGCACGAAGCGCCGGTGATCCTGCGCCATCCAGAAACGCATGGCGAGCAACGCTGCAATCGATCGAGCATGCAACACATTAGGATGCACACCGAGGATGCAATGAGGATGGGCTTCGGGGGGGTCAGTGAACCAGGCGTATGCAAAATTTTGTATTTATGTGCTTATGTGCATTTTTCTGGGGAAGGGTCCGAAGCTTTCTCCAGATTATCAAACGGGTCCATGACTCAAAAAAGTTTAAGAACCACTGCGCTATATACTCACATTAATACCACTGATCCTCCCTACAGAGGGCGCTCTCTACAGTCCTCTCTGCAGAGGGCGCTCTCTACAGTCCTCTCTTGGGGGAGGGGAGAGGGGATGCTCACCTGCACATCGTTCGTGCGTGCGATGATGCGATCGATTGTGCGTTCGGGAGGGGGCGCCGCTGCAGCGAGGTGCCCTCCGTTACGAAGTGCCCCCACCTTCGGGATTTTGACTGTGGCGGCGGTGTACATGTAAGAAATTTTATTTGTCCGTCTCGCGATATTGCACTCGGAAAAAAGGTGTTAGACGTTGCGTTCTTTTTTTTTTAAACCGTTAAAAATTTCTCGAAGAATTTCTCGTACCGCATATTCTGTCATGTACGTTATTGCGTCACCGAAACGCATTCCGACATACTTTGGAGGCGATGGCCATGAATGGCAATGAACCAACCGCCCACCCACGGTGGGGAATATTTATTGGGGTGGTGGGGGAGGGGCCAGGGGGTACTATATCCCTTATCGCAGATCCGAATGAATACGAGCGATTCACACTAGAGTAGCGGCAATAAATCGTATTGTCGCGTTGGTCGACAACGATGGAAAATTACAACATGGCGATTTGAACAGACGCTCAAGCATTAAATTCAATTATATTAGCACCTACGTTGTTGTGTAAAATACTATGCACACTGACTTTCATTCCACGTACGACACGTCGTTCGGGTATATTTTTTTTATTGTCGTGGTTGGAAAATTGTAAGGATGACCCAAATATCTGCGTAATCGTTTCGACAGGTACGAAAAATCAAGTATCTCAAATTAAATAAATTATAATTTATGGATGGATACACCTGTCGAGCATGATAGAATCAAGATGAGGGTGCTTATACGAGCAGCACGAGGATCTATCCTAGGCAGACCCACCCTATGTAAAACTGATGCCTTTAAAAAAGTACATGTAAACTTTGTACATGTACATATTCGGTACACTGGACGAGGGAAGTTAGAGACCTACCATATATGAAATCATTCATTGAATTGGCACATTACACAAAAAATAGCACCAGCTAGCTTACGTTTTTTGCAATTACGTGCCAATTTTAAGAATCGGATTTGCAAAATACCAGCCGAATTCCACACATTCTAAAAATGAACTCGGCCAACATGAATTGTACCGACAACAACGTGAGATTGAACCGCGCTAAACTGAAGTTGAAATTCAAGGCATATACCTATGCACGTACTACCTGCGACAACAAATCACTCCTGACACCCTACTCTTTGCCATTTCATCGCCACTAACGCGAACAAAATAAACAACCGGCCGTGTGCCGTACTAAACGTGTAAAACATGTGAGATCTAGCACCGCACGCCATTACGGGCGCCAGCGAGTGCAGGTTGTTGCTGTTGTTTACTGCCGGCGAAGCATTTGTAAACATGGCAACGAAGATCGACTGCGAAAGGCGCCGAAACGCTGTAGAATTTGCCAGACGGCTGAAGGATAGATCGATCAGGGATGAGATCGGCACGGGGTTAGCCACAGAGATGCGAAACTTACCGATTATTTGCCGATATGACGGATCTCGCCTCCGTGTGTACAAATGTTTGCTGCTGCCTGCTAGTGAGTGAGTGATCACCCATCGGACCGGTTTACATCCACAAACAATAATCATATCCATCCGCCGACCAGACGACAGCCAGGCACGCTGAGCTCTCACTCACCGGTTTTCACCGCGGCCGTTCTCTAGCTCGTCTGCTGGGAGAAATTAAAACGAGGTCTTTTCGCATCGGAAAGTTTTAAATACGTTATTAAAACCGTGGGTTTAATAAGCGGCTTAGCTAGTGTTGACTTAGCACTATGTTGGTTGTTATAGCGCCAGGGATATGACAATGTTATTAGAAACGTCTGCACGGCCCACAGCGCATATTGACGTCATCGCCAGCACCTGGTAAAGTAAACATAAACAGCCAACAAAGCATACTTAGTCAGAATCAGGTCGCCGATGCTTTTTACGTGATGGTGCAGTTTCCTTTATTTATATAACGCTTTGTCTCGCCCCAATTTTGGCCCATGTCCAAATTTTCTGCAACCTGTTTTTTGTTTGTACATCAGAGAGTGTGTGTGAGAAGGACCATTTACACACAAGAGTCTTTTGTAGAACAATCACGATCGGAGGAACAACCAGTTGTAGGCGCGCAAGATATTATTTCAACCGGCCGGACTCTTTTAAAATACGTGATAGTTAGTTACTGCATATTGAATGACTTTGCGTGCGAATATATATTGTAAATCGTGAAAAAACGTTCGAAACTGTTTTGTTCGGGAGAAAAACGCGATCAATCGTTCGCCTGACAAATTCCTATTAGTATTACATGTAGCACTGCTGATTTGCATAAACTTTTTAACGTGTGAAATTATTCTAACCACCTGTTCTTGCAAATGTGTGAATGTATAATGTTGTACGTTGAATGACGTCATTAATCTGGCAATGCGTGAGAATCCCATGCAAAACAAAAAGCAATTTCGATAAAGTCTCACGCCATAGATTATAAAGAAAAACGCACCAAGGCATTATGTGAAATAACGCACATGTATTGTGCAGTTATATTTCCATCTTAAAATTACACTATAAAACCAATACGTATTACATTAGCATGTACGTTCCTATACACCCATAACTATACACGTTAGATAAATCCCCAGATAATGAACTAAAATTATTGGACTGTTGAATAGGCGCAGAAAATCCGACAATAGATAATTTAACTTTCCTTTGCAAATTATCTAAACTGTCAGCAAAACGGATTCTTCAACACACATCTGTTACACCATAAATTCAAACTAATATTCCCACTAGGTGGCAGCACATACCGACGCTGATAAACACCCAGTCATAGAAATAATATATAGAGACATACGCGGTATCTACCTATATTATTTCTATGGACCGAGTAGAGGAAGAAAATCCTCAGACATGTTACGGACTGCTCTGGAGTTTTTGCCGCCATACGAATGCTCCATTCTTAGCCTTGATTATTCCCATTTAATCTGCTTTGTTAGTTTTTAATCTTTAAGCTCCCTAAAAACTTCTCGACGTAACCGATTCTAAGAGAGCGAATGCGGCAAAAATTCGACCACTTCTTACGGTTCCACGTGTCTCTCACGAATGACAATCACAAACATTTATAGGAACATTAAATTCATCACAGTGCGATAACGCACACCACCGACCCGCAGAACAGACGTACTAACAAAACCCTCGATCGATTTATTAAACGGATATCGCAGAAACATCACGCCACACCCGCAGGGGTCACATTACAATCCTGGGGGTCATGTCACACCCCCGGGGGTTATGTCACACTCCTGGGGGTCACATCACACCCCTGGGGGTCACGTCACACCCCTAGGGAGTCACGTCACACCCCGTCTGCCCGACAAGGAAGGATATCATCAACCTCACGGGATCACGAAACCCAAGGAAGAACTTTTTCATTGAAAGTCTCTCGTCCACGCCCAGTCGACTCCCCGCCAGATGGCGCCACGCAACCCCACCAGATGGCGCCACGCAACTTCACCAGATGGCTCTGCAGTACTTCAGCGGGACGACCCCGCACGATTCCACTCGATCAGCGCGCGCCCGTCCGCCGGACGACTCTGCAGTACTCCACTAGATGGCGCCGCACCGTTCCACCGGACGACTCTGAAGTACTTCGCCAGACGGTTCCGCAGCACTCCAGCAGGTGGCGCCGCACCGCTCGGCCACACACCAGGCGGCGTTTGCCCGCGCGAGTCACAGGAGCGACTGCAGCGGGACGACGTGGCGCCCGCCGCACGGCGTTAGACGGCGGTGTTATCGGTGGGCGCGTCACGAGCGGTACGCCGCGTCTGCCGGAGGGCGACGCGGGACGGACAGGCACGCGGGCCGCGCCGCCGCCGCAGCCACGAAACACGCGCGGCTCGGACCGGCGACGAAGACGAGACGGGAAGCGGCGGCGGGACCGTCTAACGTGACCGCTGGAGCGCCGCGAATCCTCGCACGACCGCGGCCGACGGAGTGCGGCCGCGTTTACGGCGAGTGCTCGGCGACGAGCGCCTCCGCGCCGGCGCCCCCTACCAGCAGCGGTGCGGGAATCGCAGCAATCGTCGGCGCCACCTCGGGCGGCCAGCGGAGTCCGTTTCTTCTGGGAGGTCCAGGCGGCGTTGAGCTCGGCGAATCGCGAGGACGCCCGTCTGCGCCGGGACACGTCGATGTTGAAGTGCTACGTCTGTGAGAAACAATGAGAGACGAGAGCTGTGTGAGATAGACAAGACGAGAAGGGGGAGGGGCGAGAAGAGGAGGAGAAGAGAGAAGAGAGAGAGAGAGAAAGAGAGAGAGAGAAGAGAGAGAGAGCAGAGAGAGTGGGTTAAGAGAGAGACTGAGAGGAGAGAGAGAGATAGAGGATAGAACGAGAGCAAGAAGAGACCGACCTAACGAGACTTGCCAGGAGCAAGAGTAGAAGGAGCGTCTCGTGGAGGGCAACCACGGGACCAGAGAGGCGGAAGAGAGAGAGAGAGGCGTGGAAAAAGCAAGAGGAGAGGGACACAAGGGAGACAAGACGAGAGAGAGGAGACAAGAGAGAAAGCGGAAAGAGATAGAGGAGAAGAGATAAAGACAGAAGACGAGGAATGAGAGAGAGACATGAGAGAAGAGAGGAGACAAAAAGACGAGAAAGAGAGAGCATAAGCTGGGAAGCCAATTCGTGGCCGGCGAGCCACTTCATCAGCATACAAGCCCGGGACGGACCCGTTCATGCGCTCGGCGGCCAGCTGGATGGAGCCATGCCAGTCTGCCTTCCTCGCCTCCCGGGCTAGTTCGTCCCGACTGCTGCGCCGACTCATTGACAAGTCACTCGATATTCATCCGCGTTGAGGAAACGATGTTGAGAAGGCGACGACGGCCAACGGCGAGAACGCTGAGGCGACAATGGCGCGCGACGTCGTATCGCGTATCTGATAGGGTGGCAAGATAGATGGAGAGACCGTGTGAGGGAAGAGGGAGAAGCGGGGAGACAGAGAGAGGGGAGAGGGCGCGAGAGGTAGGAGGGGAGGAGAAGGGGAAGCCCAGAAGAGGAGCGACAGAGAGAGAGGGGGAGAGAGAAAAGAGAGAGATGGGGACGCGAAGGCGAGGGAGATTGGAGGACGCAGAGAGAGACAGAGATGAAAGATTAACACAGGGACAGCAAGGCCACTTAAATGATAACCCAAATATGCAAGTCGTGGAAAAGGCAAATGCAAAAAGCAAATGTGCAAATAAGGAGCTTCCCCTCCACCACCCAAGTCCGCTGCTCCAGCTTCCTAACTGACCACTCTTCTACGTCCCACCCTTGCCTCCCCCGCCGCCTCCTCCTCCTCCTCCTGCCTCTCTCCTCCCTCTCCGCCTTCTGTACATGTTGGCGCAGGCCGTCGCCGCGCGAGTTCAACAGCCGGAAAACACGTAGATAACGGTGTTGAAGCGAAGCTCCTTGTGCGGCAGCAGCAGGTAGGCGGCAACAAAGAAGGACGCCGGCAGCAGTAGCGCCCTCACGCGCCCAGTCGGAGGACAAGCTGCCGCACGGAACGGAGGACTGAGCCGAAGGGCGAAGCCGCGGGCGACGGCGAGTAGAAATACCAGAGCAGCGCACGCTCGTTGTTAGTATGGACAACGTAGAGCGAGAGAGAGAGAGGGAGGGAGGAGATAGGGAGAGAGAGAGGGAGAGGAGGGAGAGAGGGGAGGAGAGGGACGAGATGAGAGAGGAGAGGGGCGAAGAAAGGGAGAGGAGGGGGGGTGACGGGATTGGAGCAGGAGGGCGAGAGAGAGGGACGGGGAGGGAGAGAGGGGAGAGTGAGGGAGGAAGAGAGAGAGAGTGAGGGGAGGGGAGGAGCAGAGGAAAGAGGATGAAGGCGAGCGGAGAGGAGAGAGGAAGGAGAGAGAGACGGAGAGAGAGAGAGAGGAGGAGAAGGGAGGAGGGAGGGAGAGCAGCGAGAGCCGAGAGAGGAGAGAGGGGAGGGTGAGGGGGAGAGGAGGAGGCGGAGAGAGGGGAGGGAGAGACGGGAAGGAGGAGAGCGGGAGAGTGAGGGCGGGACGGCGGCGAGAGGGAAAGAGGGAGAGATGGCGAGAGAGTTAGAGAGAAGAGCTTTTTGATTTGATAACAATCGAATTAGTTCACTTTCGCTAACATATGCTTTCGTATATGAGGATCAACTGTTTACTGCAGTAAAACCCCCAAAGTTTAAACCAAGTTCAAGCGAAAACTGGACGACGATCGATTTTGACGGCCAACATGGCCATTCTGTGAAAAGGATTACACCCAGTTGGACTCTTGTTTGTGGACACGTGTTTGTACACAGAGCACTGTCTCCCTCTGGCCACAAGGGGGCGCGCAGAAGAAGCGTGTCGATGAACAAATTGTGGCGCGCTGAAACAACGGGATCAAACGATTATATACACTAGCGGGAACCCGCGCTAGAGCACGGGCTTAGGACTATGAATGCATGTGGTGACGCGACTGTTCAATACCCAGAGAGATAAGAAGAAAGCGACTGACCTTGAAGACATTTAACTCATTAGTACGATGGCTTATTGTCTACTTACATTGATTCGGCTATAGAAAAAATCATACAAACATTATTTGGCTACATGGCAGCGGACAACCGTGTGACAGACGGCGAAAGATCATTACAGACAACGGTTCCAAGATGGCGAAATATTAGCAAGCAATATATATAGGGCCCCCTATTTTCAGGCAAAAGCCTTTACCCTTTGTTTTTGTCTTTTTTAAGCTTTTTACCGTTTCAACAGAGTATAGTTTAGGAACCCGGCGTCCCGTGTATTCATCAATCTCTTATGTAAATTTGGCGCTAGTTGGACTCGACAAACGGACGGACGGCTGTCACAAACATAATGACATACATACAAACAACATTGCCAAAGGATAGTAAGAGGGACAGTATATTATTGTGAATACGATCGCATGCCATGAAAGGCAAGCATACCCATAACGCCAGTGTGGGGACGGAATACCTGGCTCATTGAGCGGGGGCAAATCCACACCACTCACCCCAAGGGTCACCCCACAACACCACACCACACCACCTGGCATGCTACAGCCAACCGTCCTACAGGACACCACTCACCAAGTATTTTCACACATGAGATGTCATCCTAAAGTATCCAAACAATCGGTCTTACCCACTATAACCACCTCTACCTATATACATCGCACCACACCACAGAACAAACAAGCGCAGCGACCCCACACACATATACCAGACGACGCACGCCAACCACACCTCCGACACCACGATACTCACTGCGCCGGCGAGTAACCTGGAAACGGAGGGTTTCACACACGACGATATCAGTCGCAAAGTGTCAAACGAATGGCTACTTACAACAACTACACCGCCGCCACCGACCCACCTACACTATTGCACTTTTACACACGCCACCGCACACACACACCAGCACACGCGCACCACACACACACACACATGCGACCACGCACGACACACGCACACAGCCACACTCACGCGACACACACACACACACACACACACACACAGCTGCACACACACACCACACACACACACACACACAACAACACACACACCACACACACACACACAACAACACACACACACACACAGTACACACACACGCACACATGCACGCTGTGCACACCAGCACACACGCACACACACACCACACACAACGTACACACACCACCCCACACACACACACACACACACACAACACACACACACACACCACACACACACACACACACACACACACACACACACACACACACACACACACACCACACACACACACCACACGCACACCACGCAATCACCACGGCCACACTTCACCCAGGAGAACAGCCGGGAGCGCACGGCCGGTGCACACGCAGCTGCCAGCGGGGTGGGCGACGCGAACGAGATCCAGGATCACGCATCGCGCGAGCCAGCAGCGACAGCTCGCTGGAAAGACCGAGAGGATTCGCGAACGGCACGAGTAGCGACGAGCGCCGGGTGGATCTGCGCATCACCAAGAAACGCATGGCGAGCAACGCTTGCAATCGATCGAGCATGCAACACTGTGAGGATGCACACCGAGGATGCAGTGAGGAGGGGGGTCGGGCCGGGGGCAGTGACCAGGCGTATGCACAAATTTCCTGTATTTCATGTGCTTATGCGGGCATTTTTCTGCGGGAGGGTCCGAAGCTTTCTCCAGATTATCAAACGGGTGCCATGACGCAAAAAAGTTTAAGAACCACTGCGCGGATTATACTCACATTAAATACCACTGATCCTCCACAGTACAGCTCAGAGGGGCTCTCTTACAGTCCTCTCTGCAGATGGGCGCTCTCTACAGTCCTCTCTACAGAGCCGGGCGCTGTCGTACAGTCTCTCTACAGCGCGCCTCTCTACAGTCCTCTCTTACAGAGCGCGCTCGCTAACAGTCCGCTCTGGCAGAGGCGGCGCTCTCTTACAAGGCCGCTCTGGACAGAGCGCGCTCTCTACAGTGCCGCTACAGAGGGACGCGCTCTCAGTCCTCATCTACAGAGGGCGCTCTCATACCAGTCCTCTCTATAGAGGGTGCCTCGGCGTACAGAGTCTCTCGTCGACAGAGGGCCGCCGCTCTACCAAGTCCGTCTCGACAAGAAGGGCGATCGCTACAAAGTCCTCTCTGACCCAAAGCGGCGCTCATCTAACAGTCCTCGCGACAGAGGGCGCTCTCTACAGTTCCTCTATACAGAGGTGGCGCTGGCTCTAGCAGTCCTGCTATGTACAACGAGGCGCGCTCTCTTACAGTCCCTCTCTACAGAGGGCGCTCTCTACAGTCCTCTCTACAGAGGGCGCTCTCTACAGTCCTCTCTACAGAGGGCGCTCTCTACAGTCCTCTCTACAGAGGGCGCTCTCCACAGTCCTCTCTACAGAGGGCGCTGTCTGCACTCACCGATGGCGAAGGCGAAGGTGTTGGGGAGCGGTCGTGTACAGTAGTAGAGCAGGTGGAACTGGCTGCACGTGATCGCGACAAACCATCGGTAGACGTGCTGGCCGAAGTGGTAGCGGACGGTGCGAGCGAACTCGCGAAGACAGAACAGCACGACGAGGCCGAGCACGGCGCGAACTGCGGACGAACAACGGCGGCGCCACCTACGTCAGACACGCGCTCGCACGCCGGCGCACGACAATAAGCATCTAACAATGTACGATAAATGTAGTGGTAACAATACCAAATTAAAAACAATATATAGAGCCAAGGATAGCCAAATATAGCCTTGTACCAGTACCTACTCTTGTTGGATTACATTATTGTATCTAATGGCAGCAAGGCACACCTATATATGGCTCCACGGTAGAACCACAGCAAAACGACACGGCTCAGACAAAAATATATTTCATCACCTATTATCTGAGCGACGAACTTGTCTGCCTTCAGCATCTGGGAGAAGGTGACGAAGGGATGCGCGAGGCTGCTAACGAGGATCGGACCGATAAAAGTGCGTGGAACGACACCCGGGAACTCCAGATGGTCATACTGCGAAGAAAAAGAAGATCCAGCTAACAATTTGACGTTCTGGCAACATTGTCACAACGTTTCACTTACATTGTGAAAACGTTGTGGCGATGTAAATTTGTAGACTCCTCTGAACGTTGCCACAACGTTGTGGAATAACGCTGTAATGTAACATTCCTGCAACCATGTGTACACGTTCAAATGAATATTTATATATTTAATGTTTAATTTAACGTTCAAAGCAGAAAATACATGAGCATGAAGGGTGGCATGTACATTATTTCTCGAGAACCTCAGTAACGATCGAACTGCAACACGAAGGAGAGAAAGTAATGTAGAAGAAGTGATAAACCATCTGAATGCCGAAATCCAGACATGCATTAGCCTAAATTGATGAGGAGGATAAGCATAAGCTATTTTACTTATGTATTTTTATTTTTACTGTCCCACATAATGTATTTTATGGTGCATAATAGAGAAATAAAATGTTTTTTATCCATTTATTATAGTAATTGTCCATATTATACAGTATACATACGTGATACTGTCCTGATAGTGACACAGTCACTGATCAAAACGTATGTAATTATTATTAATTTAAATAATTACTGCCATTTACAATTGTACAATTTGTTTTTTAATCATTAATCAACAACCTGCAGCAAGGGTGATGCTTAGTATCTTAGTGTTTGTAACAACATCGCCAGCTTCGTATCGTGAAACGGGATCATGTATTGCGAGTACGAATTCAAGAACTGCAACAACAACAACACCTTCTGAATGTTGAGCCCGTGAAATATCAAATCGTGCATAGCATGGAGGTTAAAACTTTCCTCTACCTTTGTGTATGGACACATAAAAAGGTAGACGAAGGCAACTACGACTGTCATTAAGAACAACATCGTTGTTTTGTTTTGTTTTCCAACAAAAACCAGCTTCTCTATGAAATTAGGCAACTCCTAAACTTGCTTTCTTGTGGGCGCTGTCATTTTGGAAATTGCACGCCGGGAAACTGCGCCGGAGATGCGCAGATCGAGAAAAGTCGCATCCAGTATGTCAGCCTACACGATGGTGGGCAGATTTTCCCGGCCGGTCGGGAATCTTGCCCATTTCCGACGACATTTCGCTGATAACGCTGCGACGACGTCGTCTAAGTCGCCCGTGGCAGCTCGCGTCGGACGTTGGATGCAGATGTACGAGGATTTCATCGGCATTACGGAAGTGAAAGAGGCCCAAAACGGAGTCCTTCTGGTTCGTGTTTTGCGTTCACTGTACATTTTCATTTTCACTAGTGTAAGGACTAAAGGAGTTTTAGGAGGGGTGATTCAACATTTAATTTGCGATAAACTCCGCCGAGTTACTCCCAATTATACCGTTTCGAAATAAGTATGACTGCTATTTGCGAAGGGCGTTAGCCACGTAAATTCGGCCTTTAGTAATTGATGATCCTTCGCCCATGCCATGGATTGTTTATTTACTTAACCTTGAATGGGAATGAAGCGGCGCGGCATTCTTTGATCTGCAACCGGTATAATTACACAGGGGCGGCACAACAGCAACGGATGTTTGTTATGTCATGCCAAGCCGCGTTCTTATACTTGCCGGGTGTCCCATACACGGGGGACGTAATAACAAGCTATAGTGCTTCTGTATTTATCTAACTACTAAACTAGCTGTATCAGCGTATGTTGTCAGATATGGATAAGGTAGTTAATCTTTCATTCGCTGCATGTAGTCTGTAGTTATGATTTACAGTTTGGCTATTGGCTGAATAAATACGCCTATCAGTGCAATGCCTTGTACATGATGTCGTTACCTTAATTTGTAACTTACAACATGTGAAGATAAGCAGTGGTTATGTTTGCTACACCTATGATCACAGCCTAGCTGGCTGTCGGGACACTGACCAGTAACCGATCTCTTGTTTGTAGGTGGAGCAGCGTGGATTCGTTATTGACGATCGTTCCATTGATTGCAGGGCTTTGTTTTTGCCGACCGTTCTCTTGTTTGTAGGTGGAGCACCCGTCCTTCGTTTTCGACGACTGCATTCTCTTGTTCACTGACTGTTCTCTTGTTCGCCTCCCACGTTCTCTTGTTCGCTAATTATTCTTTATTCTCTTGTTCATCCTCCCACGTTCTCCTGTTTGTCCTCGCCGTTCTCTTGTTTGCCTCACCCGTTCACTTGTTCATTAATTATTCTCTTGTTTGCCCCGACCGTTCATCCTCACGCGTGCTCTTGTTTCGTTCTCATGCGTTCTCTTGTTTGCGCGCAGGCGGAGCAGCGTTTCCGCGTGGCGCAGGACGGACGTCGCGAGACGCAGGCCGAGATCCAATTGGTGCAGATGCGTCTCAAGGACATGCATGGCGAACTGGACAAGGTGTTGTAATAGTATGGACTACTTCCTAGGCGCATATAATTGAGATATAAGGATACCTGCAAAGGTGCTCTGAGGTGTGGTAATGTTCTTGATCAGTGGAGGAATGTTGTAGACAACAGACAGGAGTGGAGAGGTCTTGTGCATACAACTTGTGAATGCTTCAGCATAAAGAGAATCAAACAGTATGAAAGAAAAAGTGAACGAAGACTAAAGAATTTGAACAAAAGATGATCTATGAACTTTATAGCGATAGATATTTGTACTACATTATTATTCTGTGTAATGCCCGTTTCGGGCTCTCTCTAATCAATGTTCCTATGCGCATGCACACATTCTATAATCTCGTGGTTATTGTGAGGTCAGCGCGGATCGATATCGCTCGCTCTTGTTCGCCAGTTCGCGTGTGTTAAGCAGCAACATGTACCAGCTCCAGCATTAAACTACATTTGAGTTGCATCACTCTTCGTCATTACATAACAAACACTACTACTACTACTACCAGGAGTAAGATAATAGAGGTGTTATTATCTTACTATATTATCTTACCTATTATTATCTTACCTATCTTACCTATATTATCTTACTCCTGCTACTACTACTACTACTACTCCCCTGCCTGCTGCCGTGCTACCTGCTGGCTGCCCTGCTCTACTACTACTGGTTTGCCTGCTGCTGCTGCTGCTGCTGCTGCTGCTGTTGCTGCTGCTGCTGCTGCTGCTGCTGCTGCTTGCTGCTGCTGCTGCTGCTGCTGCTGCTACTACTACTTACTACTACTACTACTAACTACTACTCTTCGTCATTACTTAACAGGTGTCACGCGGCGAGGACCGATACCTCCGTCTCGTCACGCGAGAAACACGCCGTCATCAAATCGGAGCGACTCTGCTCGCCGGAGTTCGGCTGCGCGCGAGGCAGCGGAGCGCAGACCGCTTCGCCGCGCTGGCCACCGCCGTGCGAGAGAGCCACGAGCGAGAGCGCGAGTACGCCGAGAAGACAAAGTACTGGTCGCTGATCGGCTCGGTCTGGGCGCGCCCGATCGCGTCGCGCGCGACGACCGTCGCGCAACACGTGCGCCTGCGGGAGCTCGGGGACATCGCCGCGGCGACGGACGCGGGGCGGACGGAGTCGCTGGTCGGCGACGGCGCGCCGGCGCCTCGCCGCCGACTACGACGACCTCCAGGCGTTCGTCGCCGACCTTCAGCGGATTCTCGCCGTCGCTGTCGCGCCCGCGTGGGCGCCCCCTGGTGGGGGACGTCGGGACGGAGGAGCGGCGGAGGAGGCGGCGCGGCGCGTCATCGAGGCGGTGAGCGCCCGCAGGAGCGACGCACGCGGAGATGGAGCGCGTGCGAGCGCTCGTCGCCGCGGCAACCGCGTGCGAGGATGCGGGGTTCGTCGTCGCGTACGCGGAGCCGAGGCTTCGGGAGGTTGTCGCCGAGGGTGCGGACGACCTCGAGTGGCGGGTCAAGGTCAATTCGATCGGCACGGTCGTGTTCGTGTATGCGGCTTTCGCGCTCACGCTGCCTGTCCTCTACAACATCTTCAAGGGCTTGTGATTCTTGTGATCTCGTTGCCATGACGACGACGGCGGGCGGAGGCTGCGGGGAAGAGGAACGGTAGCAGGAACTTTGTCGCAGGATTTTTCCGGACAGGATTTTTCTGGATAGGATTTTTTCTGTGCGGCGAAGCCTTCACGTCGTTCCCCTCCGAGTCGATCTGTCTAATAAATGTCTATCCGTCACTGTCGATCCGTCAGTCTGTCGCTTCGTCTGTCGGATGGAGAGAACCTTGGGAAGGCTCGGCAGTTTGCGATCACGCGGCGCCACCTAGGATCAGACGATCACGCGCTAGGAGAGGCGGTTGAGTCGCCACGATGCCAGTTCATCACCATCACTGCCTCGCCATCATCCTCGCGCTCCGCAGGGAAGCTGCTACGCAGCCCTCTCTCCGTGGTCGTCACCTCTCGTCTGACATGAAAAAGAGGACCATGTGTGAGAGAACGCGTGTCCTATGTATCTAGATATATTTCGTCGTTAGACTCTCACATAGTTGCCATGACTAGAAAGAGAGATTTCGTCGTTAGTCCCTCTCCCCCCCGCACGCGCAGGGAAGCTGAGACAGATCACTCTCTCCATAGCCGTCACCTCTCGTCCGATGCAAAAAGGAGAACTGCATCCGATAAAGAGCAGAGTTTTCATTGTTAGACTCTCACATAGTTTTCACGACTATAAGGGGAGATTTAGTCGTTAGTCTCTCCCCGGGAACTCCTCTGCAGGCGCGCAGGGAAGCTGTGAAGAATCCCTCCCTCCATAGTTCTCCCGCGTCATCTTACGCCGGACTAGAGAGGGAGCTTTCATCATTAGTCTCTTCCCCGCGCACCACAGGAAAGCTGGGAGGGATCCCTCTCTCCCTTGCACACCACAGGGAAGCTGGGAGGGATCCCTCTCTCCCCCGCGCACCACAGGGAAGCTGGCAGGGATCCCTCTCTACCCCTCGCACCACAGGGAAGCTGGCAGGGATCCCTCTCTCCCCCGCGCACCACAGGGAAGCTGGGAGGGATCCCTCTCTCCATCACATCTCGTTCGACTCCGGACTAGAGAGCAGAGCTTTGTTGTTAGATTCCCTGCTACGAGGAGAGCTTTTATTAATATTGATCGATACGTTTAATTTATGTGAATAACGAACGTCGTTCCCGCGTGACACCCGCGCGAGTTTAACCTGCTGTAAATACTAAACTCGCTCGGTGGTATGGTAAACAAGTGAACGCTAGTGCTCGGGGCGAGCCGTGGAAGGAGTCCCCCCCCCTGCACCTCGTTAAAAAAAATTGCGATAGGTGGGGCGAGGTATGTAGTGCCGCATAGGAGATAAGAGGTATGTAGTATGCACATAGCATATAGGAGGCAAGAGGTATATAGTATGCACATATAGGTGAGATTAGGTATATGGTATGAACATAGGTGGGAAAAAGTACGTAGTATGCGCATTGATGGGATGCCGTACATGTAGTGTGCACGTGTGTGAGATTAGGTATGTAGTATGCACATAGCACATAGGAGGCAAGAGGTATATAGTATGCATATAGCTTTATAGTTATAAGCTTTATAGCTTTTTGGGAAAAAGTACGTAGTATGCGCATAGATGGGATGATCGACGTACATGTAGTGTGCACGTGTGTGAGATTAGGTATGTAGTATGCACATAGGCAGGAAAAAGTATGTAGTATTCACATAGGTGGGACGAGATATGTATAGTCGGGGAGTAACTATGTTGGTTCACAGGTTGAGTCTAGAGTCAAATACTCCCTGATTTACTGTCGGACTCCCTGATTTGACATATGCAGGAGTCCGTGTGACTCCATGAAAATTCTGTTACAGTAACTAGTTCGTTCCAGAGCACGGCCTCGCGGAATTACCGTTGTTTTTTTTAGCAAATGTCCCAAGAAAACTTGCAGACGTGCACCGCAAATGTCCTTTTTGTTAATATCTTTAGTTTTGAACTTTAGACTGCGGACTCCCTCATTTTGCTGCGGACTCCCTCTTTTTGATGGTATAGGCCCATAGGGAGTCCGTTGGACTCGCTTGTTCAAAAGTTAATTTCTACCCCTGTTGAAGTGTGTAGTATTAGTGGTAAATTGCACAGGAGGGAGAAGGTAGGTAGGATGGGGAAGGGCCGGATGGTTAAGGCGGATACAGTGGGGACGAGGTTAGTTTAACTCGGCAGTAGTAGCGGTAGACTAGAGGGCGAGGTAGAAATCTACGTGTTCCGAGCTTGTTGCACTTGGCAAACATGAGCTTTGTAGCTTCATCTCTTAGCTATCTCGCAATGAGCCAGGGGCATGCACGCAGTCAGAAACAAAATTAGTCTTATTACATTAGTCTTAACATTTTCTTCTCTTAGACCTTTGACGCAAACATCGTAGTTACAAGAATAAAACATTTGCAAATTTTTCTCGTAAAAAAAGTCCTTCCACAGTCTATGGGAGAATGTTCATTGTAAGACGAATGTTGAGGTTAGTTTTGTTACTGACAACGAGCTCCCAGACTCGTGAGAGTTTCACGTAACATTCATTATATAAATGTCGAGTCTGCGTGTGTGTGCGTGCGTGCGTGCGTGCGTGCGTGCGTGCATGCATGTGAGTGTGTGTGTACGATTAACAGTCACTGTGCCGGCCAGAAAAAATAATATACTAGTTATAGCGTCACTCTTCACGTTTCTGTCATGCCGACTCCATCCGTTAGTTAGTGTCGGAGGTCAAGCCCGTCAAGGTCATACGACAAAGTCGCGGGAGAAAATGTTACGGATCGCGAAGGGAAATAAATTTATCAAAATATTTATTAGTTTCGTATGAGATTAAGTTAACAGTGTGAGTTAAGAGAAGGCTAGAGTGAGGGGAGAGTCTGCCGGCACGCCAGCGTGAGAGGTAGCATGGTATAGGGGAAGTAGAGGTAGCTAGTAGCGTGTCCACTCATTGCAAAGTGCAATCTCATTGCTGGCTGATGAGTTTGTGACCGATCGTTAGATTAACTTGGTCGTTAGAGTTCTTAATTGATGCGGATAATTATGAATAGTTTAGTGGCTGGCCGCGCAACAACGCGTGGATTGGTCCGCGCTGCCGGCGGGTGTTGTCGGTGTCTCCACCTGTTGTTCGCTGTGAGAAACTCGCGCATTGACACCTCTAAGGCATGGCTATCGACAGTCACAGTGGTGTGCACTACAGCAAGCCACATACTTCTATCGCCACGGCAACTGTGTATTGCCTACTTCTATCGCCACGGCAACTGTGTATCGCCTACTTCTATCGCCGTGGCGATGGAAGAGTGGAGTTTCCTGGTGCGACCGGTGCATTATTGATGCGTCTGTGCATGTGCAGACGGATGAGACGGCGCGGCAGGGGGGGGGCATTAAGTTAATTTAATTAATGATTCTTGCATCTCGGTCGCGCTGTATTTATTGTATAACAGTGCCTCCCCCCCCCCCAATCGAAAACTGCTTCCGACGCGCCTGGTGAGAACCTTTTTATTGTGTGTGATAGTGCGTCAACGATTGGCT